TAATTTTTGTTAAATGCTCTTAATTTCTTTGTTTGAGTTTACCAGTTTCCCCTGGAGCTACAGATGATTTCCAGCTGATGCCCACTGGTGGTCAACTTCCCAGTGGGCCATTCCATCTGCTCACCAGCGGAGGGGGAAATTTGGTTTTTTAGTTTAGTTTAATTATTTCTTTAATGGTTTTTCTTTTGAAAGTTAGTTCAGTTCTAATATTATTTAATTTAAAGATTTAGTAATGTTTCTTATTTGTTTGTGTTTTTTTTGTGTGTTGAATTATCCCTTTTGTGTTTAGTAGTGGTTTGATCACCCACTATTTAAGTTCTCTTCATGTCTTGTTAGTTAGGTCAGTTTTTTGTTTGAGTTCTTTGTGTTGCTACCTGAGTTGTAGTTTGTTATGTTGACCTCAGTTTTGGGCCCGATTTATCATTTTGAAATTATTTGTGGATTTTTTTTATAAATTAAAATTTATTTTGAACTTTACTCAATACTCTCTGGCTGGTTTGTTGGAAAACCTCACATTTGGTGTCAGGAGTGGGATTTTTGCCAGCCAGAGAGTATAAAATTTTTTGGGGGTTTTTTTTGTCCCCCATTACCAACCCTGACGACTGGAACATGCCGCGTGGTGGAAGGAGTAAATGAGACAATTTGGTGGAATTTGAAGGAACAGCAGGCCTTGATGAGGAGACTGATTGCACTGAAGGAGAAGCATCTGGAGGACCTGGTGGCACTGAGGGTGAAGCAGGAGAAGAACCAACATATGCAGATCTGATCAGCATTCTTCGTACCCACATGAGCCAGCAGGAAACACAAAATAGAATAATGAGAGAGGAAACAGCTCGTCAAGATGAACAGTTCAGGACTCTCCAGCACCAATTCAGTCTTTTGCAGTTAGAAGTGCAGGCTTGTACTTCTGCCACACCCGAACCTGCTAAGCTGGAAAACTCTGATTCGGAGGAACCAGAACCCCTTTACAAGAACCTGCCATCAGGAGATCATAAAGCCATCTCTACTTCAGGTCAGTTCCGATCCTTTTTGGAGCCTAAACTGGAAAAGTTAACAGAAACTGATGACATTGAACATTTTTTAATGACTTTTTGAGAGGATTGCAATTTCATGCAATTGGCCAGAGAAAGAATGGGTCTTTCGGCTGGTTCCTTTGCTCACTGGGAAAGCTAGAAGTGCTTATGTGCATATGGACATTGATGAAGTTAATGATTATATATCTGTCAAAGATGCAATTCTTAAGAAATATGACATTAACCCAGAAACCTATCGTCAGAGATTTCGCTCTATAGAAGTGGAGCCTGGAGAAACTCCTAAGGAGCTGTATGTAAGGCTAAAAGAGTTGTATCAAAAGTGGATCCAACCTAAAGGTAAAACAGTGAAGGACATTGGTGAAACTATTGTTTTGGAGCAATATCTCCGTATGTTGTCTCCTGAGCTACAGGTTTGGGTCCGGGAACATGATCCTCCAACCGCTTCCAAAGCTGCTTCACTTGCAGAGGTGTTTGTGGCTGCAAGACGGAAAGGACAACCATGGAGTTACTCTTCTTGGAAAGCATGTAAAGATACCCGCAGAGCTGCATCTGTACAGCACCATCAAAGGGGTGTGTCTGCTGTGGGTAAGGCCTCCCTAAGAGAAAACCAGGCAGTAAGCCCAACACCCAAGCAATAAAAAGTGCCTGTTTGTTACTTGTGTGGTCAAGAAGGCCATACAAAACCCATGTGTCCGAAGAACCCTCCTAAACTCACTCAACTGTGTGTTGTCCCATTTAAAAGTGACAATTGCATCACTGTTGGACAGTCTGTGAAACTGAGTGATGTTAAGGTTAATGGGGAAAGTGTAAAGGCCTTAATTGACACTGGAAGTGTTCAGACACTTGTTGAAAGACAGCTGGTTCCAGCTAACATAATCTGTACCTCTGATACCATCCCTATCCGCTGTGTGCATGGTGATGAAAAGTCATACCCCACAGCAGATATTTACATTGAAGTACAAGGACAATTATACCTGTTGAATGTTGGTGTTGCAGAAAATCTCCCTTTCCCAGTAGTATTGGGTAGTGACTTACCTGTGCTGTTTGACTTGATACACAACCCACAGAACTGCAATGTAGTAACTCGTTCTCAAGCAAAACAGCCAGAAGAATCTCCACCAATTCTCAGTGTGCTACCTTTTTATGATGCAGACCTGGATGTGCAGCCTGGAAAATCTAGAAAATCATGTCGACAAAGGAGACAGGAGAAGTTTCTGCATACTCCTGTTACCTCGACAGAAGGGGTTCAGGATCTGCCCCAGGGTTTTAAGGTGCCTTTAAATATGGCTCAAATACAGAGTGATGACTCCAGTTTGGCTGTTCTTTTTCAGAAAGCCCAAGGACCCCAGAAAAATAACCACAGAGGTGATGCTGAGGAGTTTGTTCTACACAAAAATATCCTTTATCGTCAACAGGGGGCATCTCAGCAGCTTGTGGTCCCTAAGGTTGCAAGAGAGACGGTGCTTAATTTGGGCCATTCAATCCCCTGGGCTGGCCACCTAGGGACGCAGAAGACCCTGGCTCGCATCAGGCGCCATTTCTACTGGCCTGGATTATGGACTGATGTTGCCCATTTCTGTAGGACCTGCCCTCAGTGCCAATTAACCTCCAATAAGTTCCCTTCAAGGGCACCACTGCAGCCACTTCCCCTAATCGACACGCCTTTTGAGCGCTTGGGTATGGACATTGTGGGTCCACTTGAACGAAGCAAATCTGGACATCGATATATGTTGGTGATAACAGATTATGCAACCAAGTACCCAGAAGTGTTCCCCTTAAAGACAATTAAAGCAAGAGCCGTGGCTTTCTCCTTGGTGCAACTGTTTTCAAGGGTTGGATTTCCCTTTGAAATTGTGACAGATCAAGGCACTAACTTCATGTCTACTCTCCTAAAGCAGGTATATCAGCTGCTGGGGATTAAGGGTGTTCGAACTACCCCTTACCATCCACAGACAGATGGACTCACAGAGCGGTTCAACCAAACACTGAAGCAAATGCTGCGTAAGTTTGTGGATGAAACCGGCTCCGATTGGGATCAATGGCTGCCTTATCTCCTCTTCGCCTATAGAGAAGTACCACAGGCCTCCACTGAGTTCTCCCCTTTTGAACTTTTATATGGCCATGAGGTGAGGGGACCTCTGGCATTGTTAAAGGAGACATGGGCTGGAGAAGAGGGGAGGGAGGGGCCTGTTAATGCTATCTCCTATGTTATGCAGATGAGAGAGAGGCTACAAAAGATGACAGCTTTGGCCCAGCAGCACATGGCAGAAGCTCAAAAGTACCAGAAGGTTTGGTATGACAAATCGGCCCGGCAGAGGACCTTTGTCCCAGGCCAGAAGGTTTTGGTCATGCTACCATCCAGTGAGAGCAAGCTTCTGGCCAAGTGGCAGGGGCCATTTGAAGTAGTGAAACTACCACCTATCAAATTACTAAATCGGGACGACCGCATTCCACCAAAGTGCTGCATGTGAACCTCCTTAAGGTGTGGACAGAGCGACCTAAAGTGGGGACAGACGTCATGCTGATTAGAGCTGTGGAAGAGGAGGAAGCTGTTGATGATCAGTACCTACCCTCGTCAGCACCAATGGAGCTTGACTTGAAACATCTGTCAAGTGAACAACAACTACAGGTCAGAGCATTATGTAATCCTCAAATATTTAAAGAATATCCAGGTCGTACAGACATTCTTGAACATGAAATTGTGTTGAAAAGTGATGCTAAAGTTAAACGTCTGAGCTACAGGATTCCAGAACGCCTGCTCAGCTCCCTGAAGAGAGAGTTGGAATTGATGCAGTCCCTCGGGATTGTTGAATCTTCCAAAAGTGAGTGGTGTAATCCTGTCGTCTTGGTGCCGAAGAAAGATGGAACAATGCGTTTCTGTATAGACTTCAGGTACCTTAATTCTGTGTCAAAGTTTGACTCCTACCCTACTCCTCGCATTGATGATATGGTCAATAGATTGGGCAAAGCTAAATACCTCACAACTATTGACTTGTGCAAAGGTTACTGGCAAGTGCCCCTTTCCAAGAAGTCCAGGGAGTTGACGGCCTTTCGGACTCCTTGGGGACTCTTCCAGTTTACAGTTTTGCCCTTTGGACTGCATGGCGCACCCGCGACCTTCCAAAGGCTTATGGATCAGGTACTGCGTGGATGTGAGGACTATGCCTGTGCCTATCTCGATGATATTGTGATATATAGTAACTCATGGGAGGAGCACCTTCAACACTTACAAGAAATCTTGGGCCTCCTCCAAAATGCAGGTTTGACCATTAACCCAGCAAAATGTGTTTTTGCACAATCGGAGACAGAGTATCTGGGTTTCATAATTGGAAATGGTGAACTTAAGCCACAGGTTCGCAAGATTCATGCCATTGAATCCTGTCCCTTGCCTCAAACCAAAAAGCAATTGAGGTCATTTCTAGGGATGGCAGGGTTTTATCATAGATTTATAAAAAACTTTTCAGCTAGAGCTTCCTCGCTGACAGACATGACTGGATCTAAATGTCCCAGTAAAGTCCAATGGACGGAAAAGACTATAGCAGCATTCCATGATATTCAACAAGCACTGGGTCGGAGCTCTGTCCTGAAGTGTCCTGATTTTGACAAAGGTTTTATTCTACAAACAGATGCCTCAGAAAGAGGTATTGGAGCAGTCCTCCTGCAAGGTGATGAGGCTTTACAACCTGTAGCTTTCATAAGCCGTAAGCTACACCCCAGAGAAGTCCGTTATTCTACGGTGGAAAAAGAAGCCCTCGCCATAAAATGGGCCCTGGATTCCCTGAAGTATTACCTTCTTGGAAGAGAGTTCATTCTCCAGACTGACCACAAAGCTCTTCAGTGGCTACAGCGTATGAAGGACACAAATAGTCGCATTACAAGATGGTTTCTTGCCATGCAACCCTTCCGCTTTACAGTACAACACATACCTGGCAAGCTGGAAGAGGCAGAGGAAGCTTAGGCAGCGAAATGGAGATGGAGCATTTCGACGATCGGGACAAAGGTCAGAGGCACGGCCGGTCCAACGCTAAGATGAACGGGGTGCCTAGCCCCACACACAGCGCCCACTGCAGCCTGTACCGGACCAGGACCTTGAAGACTCTGAGTGCCGAGAAGAGGGCCAAGAAAGTTCGCTTCTACCGCAACGGGGACCGCTACTTCAACGGGATCGTGTACGCCATCTCCTCAGATAGGTTCCGGACCTTTGACGCACTGCTAGCCGACCTGACCCGCTCTTTGTCTGACAACGTCAACTTGCCCCAGGGGGTCCGGACTATCTACACCCTGGATGGCAAGAAGATCGCTAGTATCGATCTGCTGGTTGAAGGTGAAAGCTATGTCTGCAGCTCCATAGAGGCCTACAAAAAGCTGGATTACATAAAAAACGTAAACCCCAACTGGTCAGTGAATGTCAAGGCCTCGTCCTCTTCATCACGTGGGCCTCCGTCCCTGAGCTGTGCCAAAGCTTGTGCCTCAGACGGCCGAGAAGGCAAGGACTTCATCCGTCCAAAGCTAGTAACGGTGGTTCGAAGTGGAGTTAAGCCCCGCAAAGCCGTGAGGATCCTGCTGAATAAGAAAACAGCCCACTCCTATGAGCAGGTTCTGACCGATATCACTGATGCCATCAAGCTCGACTCTGGGGTGGTGAAGAAAATCTACACATTGGAGGGCAAACTGGTTGCATGTCTGCAGGACTTCTTTGGTGAGGAGGATATTTTTGTGGTCTGTGGACCAGAGAAGTTTCGCTACCATGATGACTTGATGTTGGATGAGAGTGAATGCCGCATGATGAAGTCAGTGACCTATGGCAAGATGTCAGGTTCTCTCAACCGATGCTCTCCCAGGACTGTCATCCAATCACATCGCAGCAAGTCCCCAGCTTCTGTGAACGGGACGCCAGCCAGTCAGCAGTCCACTTCTCATTCGGGGAAATCTCCCACCCCTTCCCCAACCAGCCCAGGCACCTCAGCCGACGCCAGGAAAAGGACAAAGCTGTGACTGAGCATAGGCCAACTACATCTTAGAGTCACTTGAACATGAAGAAACCAGCACATCCCAACACCTTTAGCATCTAAGATCAGGGTGGAGAGTGAAGCTTTGATCTCATCCAGTACCGCTCAGAGAAGCTCTGAAGGCATATTCGTTTGGACACGTGTTACTAGCCGGAAAAACATGTCTATTGCATTTGCACATATGCTGACGCATTGCTCTTTGCTCCTCGCCGAGAATTCTATCTGCAAGTGTTAGTGCTGCATCGCACAGTGCCAGCCCTCGCTTCTAGTTATCTCTGGATTTATGAGTCAGCAGTTTGTCCAGCATCTGATCTAAAAATGACAAGGGCGGATCTTGTGTCATTTTGTATGTGTACGCCCCTGCAAAGGGTTTAGAAAAGATTTTATAGTAGGAAGAATTCATCAATTCAATTGCTTGTAAAGTTTCATTTTACTGATTAAAACATTTTTTGGAAAACACTTACTAAAGAGGATATGAGATAGGATAGTAATAGGACTGAAGCACAAATTGAAGATGTAATGCAGAGAAAGAACATGCAACTCAATGGAAAAATGTTTCATTCAGACAAATTGTTCCTTCTGATTTCATAGCCCAGTTGTTGCAAGCTTAAATTTTTACTTAAATGTGTCAAGATGAACATTCTGGTGCAACAGTGATAATGGTGAGCTTTTATTTTCTCCTTCAACAGAGCTACTGATTTCAGCAGGACACATGAAGCTCATTTGTCCTGCTGAAATCCCCAACCTTGTGGCTGAAGGTTACCGCAAGTCCTTCAATTGTATTTTTTAAATGTGATTCAAAAATTTTCAGAATAATTAAGTTTTTGGATTAGTTTCTGTCTCTCCTAAAGTTCAGGAGATTTTTTTTTCAGGAGATGTATATTAACTCATTACAACGTTGCTCCTGCTCTGATAACTTTGCTTTAGTTTTTCTTGTCTATTCTTATGTAGGCCTCCGTTTAGGCAAATTGAAATACATTTTAGACTTCGCCAAATCAGCAATGCTACTTTTTTCTTTTTCTGTTTTGCCATTTTTTTAGTAACATTGGCAACATAAGCCAATATAGCTGGCCAATGAATGAGGCTTCTACTTGGCTTATAGCTTTCCCACAGTATTTAATGTTACAAAACAGTCCTTCTATATTAAGAGCGACAGTTGAGCATCCTCTAGTTTCTGTGCTGTGACCGTTTGCATTTTTCCACATCTCAAAGCTTTGAATACAATTTTTAATCAATGAACACTGGCTGCCAAATGGGATGGGATCAGCTTGACAACTCAAAAACGGCTAATTAGATAAAAAACAAAAACAGAATATTTATTTAACTGTATACTTACAGAGTACAAGGGCATATTAATTTAACATGACTTATTAGAAACTTATTAGAAAAGCTTAGAGGAGGAAAAGAGGAGGAAGCTGTTGATGATCAGTACCTACCCTCATCAGCACCAATGGAGCTTGACTTGAAACATCTGTCAAGTGAACAACAACTACAGGTCAGAGCATTATGTAATCCTCAAATATTTAAAGAATATCCAGGTCGTACAGACATTCTTGAACATGAAATTGTGTTGAAAAGTGATGCTAAAGTTAAACGTCTGAGCTACAGGATTCCAGAACGCCTGCTCAGCTCCCTGAAGAGAGAGTTGGAATTGATGCAGTCCCTCGGGATTGTTGAATCTTCCAAGAGTGAGTGGTGTAATCCTGTCGTCTTGGTGCCGAAGAAAGATGGAACAATGCGTTTCTGTATAGACTTCAGGTACCTTAATTCTGTGTCAAAATTTGACTCCTACCCTACTCCTCGCATTGATGATATGGTCAATAGATTGGGCAAAGCTAAATACCTCACAACTATTGACTTGTGCAAAGGTTACTGGCAAGTGCCCCTTTCCAAGAAGTCCAGGGAGTTGACGGCCTTTCGGACTCCTTGGGGACTCTTCCAGTTTACAGTTTTGCCCTTTGGACTGCATGGCGCACCCGCGACCTTCCAAAGGCTTATGGATCAGGTACTGCGTGGATGTGAGGACTATGCCTGTGCCTATCTCGATGATATTGTGATATATAGTAACTCATGGGAGGAGCACCTTCAACACTTACAAGAAATCTTGGGCCTACTCCAAAATGCAGGTTTGACCATTAACCCAGCAAAATGTGTTTTTGCACAATCAGAGACAGAGTATCTGGGTTTCATAATTGGAAATGGTGAACTTAAGCCACAGGTTCGCAAGATTCATGCCATTGAATCCTGTCCCTTGCCTCAAACCAAAAAGCAATTGAGGTCATTTCTAGGGATGGCAGGGTTTTATCATAGATTTATAAAAAACTTTTCAGCTAGAGCTTCCTCGCTGACAGACATGACTGGATCTAAATGTCCCAGTAAAGTCCAATGGACGGAAAAGACTATTGCAGCATTCCATGATATTCAACAAGCACTGGGTCGGAGCTCTGTCCTGAAGTGTCCTGATTTTGACAAAGGTTTTATTCTACAAACAGATGCCTCAGAAAGAGGTATTGGAGCAGTCCTCCTGCAAGGTGATGAGGCTTTACAACCTGTAGCTTTCATAAGCCGTAAGCTACACCCCAGAGAAGTCCGTTATTCTACGGTGGAAAAAGAAGCCCTCGCCATAAAATGGGCCCTGGATTCCCTGAAGTATTACCTTCTTGGAAGAGAGTTCATTCTCCAGACTGACCACAAAGCTCTTCAGTGGCTACAGCGTATGAAGGACACAAATAGTCGCATTACAAGATGGTTTCTTGCCATGCAACCCTTCCGCTTTACAGTACAACACATACCTGGCAAGCTGAATGTGACTGCAGACTACCTTTCGCGTTTGTGTGAGGACCCTTCTGAAGGGTGGGGGAATGTGACAGCTGTCCCTGCTGTCACAGAATAAAAGTAATTATTTTCTGTTCTTCTTTAATATTACTTTATATATTTGTTTGAATAGTTTAGATTTTTATTTTCAAATTAGTCTTCATTAATTTGACCAATTTAGTTAACTATGTGTAGTGCACCCATTTAGTTAACTTTATTTGTCAGTTCTTTATAATTTTTGTTAAATGCACTAAATTTCTTTGTTTGAGTTTACCAGTTTCCCCTGGAGCTACAGATGATTTCCAGCTGATGCCCACTGGTGGTCAACTTCCCAGTGGGCCATTCCATCTGCTCACCAGCGGAGGGGGAAATTTGGTTTTTTAGTTTAGTTTCATTATTTCTTTAATGGTTTTTCTTTTGAAAGTTAGTTCAGTTCTAATATTTATTTAATTTAAAGATTTAGTAATGTTTCTTATTTGTTTGTGTTTTTTGTGTGTGTTTAATTATCCCTTTTGTGTTTAGTAGTGGTTTGATCACCCACTATTTAAGTTCTCTTCATGTCTTGTTAGTTAGGTCAGTTTTTTGTTTGAGTTCTTTGTGTTGCTACCTGAGTTGTAGTTTGTTATGTTGACCTCAGTTTTGGGCCCGATTTATCATTTTGAAATTATTTGTGGATTTTTTGTAATAAATTAAAATTTATTTTGAACTTTACTCAATACTCTCTGGCTGGTTTGTGGGAAAACCTCACACAGGCCAATGTGGGACGGCTCAGCAATGATCCTGCCTACGAGCACCAGGGCCATATATTGGGTTGTGGCTGATCAATGGAGGGTTCTTTGAGGCTGATGATATTTTTTTGAGTGAGTAAATGATGCGCAGCAGTTTCTTAATGTCAGAGAAGTAGTGTCTTTTTGGGGAATGCTCTGCAGGATACAATGAAAAAAAGCTAAGCAGTAGAACTCAGGCAGAAAAAAAGGAGACAGGTGCATGCCTCGGGCTTTCCATTATAAACCCCAACACCTGATCAAACTTCATATTGTGCGCAGAAACTCAGCAGTGCATCACGGCAAAGAAAATACCCAATATACTTCGATGTTAATACTAAAGGTCACATCTTTATGAAAGAGCTGTCCTTCCGTAAGGAGTCCTTAAAAGCAAAACATTTTCTGGTGAAGCTCACACCACAAACATAACCAAATGAATTTTCATTCAGTAACTGTAATTTTTTGCATTGCATTTGTTGCTGTCATCATGCTTTATAAAAACAAAAAAACATGCCAAGAAAATCAAGAAAACGAAAATGAAAAACATTCATGACAGTGCTTTTGTAGAAAACATGCGTGTGTTGAGTTTGTGTCCCTGCACAGACACTGCTCTCAGCTTTTACTTCACACTTCCAAACATGGTTTTTTTTGGACTGTGACCTTTGTGTGAAGGGCGAGTAGAAATCAGTCAATAAATGTGAGCAGGGAAGGAGACAGAGGAACAGTGGTAAGTTCACATCTCTGTCATACACATCCTGTAGTTATATTGCTACAGGCTTATACTGCTGGCCACTGACAACTTTTCCTCAATCTTCTACTTCATTTCACCATTTATTTTTCCCATTAATTTCATATTTCATGTCTGTTTTTCCCATCAAAGAGGTTTCATGAGAAGTGGTGTCTGATTAGCAATTTATTTGATTGATTTCAGAATAGAAATATATCAAAATGAAAATAAGACAAATAAAGACGCAACAATAATCACAAAGGTTGGTATTAGGATATCAAAACAAGATCTTACATAGTCCAAAGAGGGAGAAGGCTGCTTAGAAATGTCTTCCCATCTCATAGATCACTGTAGTTTTTCTAAGAAATAAATGTTAATGACGAATCACCTTCAAAAAGCCGTTTAAAACCCTCTCCAGGCAGATGTTGCAGATTTGCAACAGCTCAGTGCTACTTAGCTAGTCTTTGCAAGTAATTTGAGCCTGAGAGGGTTAAACTGTAAAAAAACATGAGCAAAGAAATGAAAGCATAATAATTACATATTGATAAGAAGCGTATATATACTCCTACACTTAAAAGGAGTATTTTGAACATAATTTAAATGCTGCCTATTTGTAAGAAATGCATGAATATTAAAAGAAAGAGGTCAAACTTAGACAAAAACTAGAAAAGATTCAAAAAACATAATTTTCTCTAAATATTAAATAAATGAGTGAGAGTTAATCTAATAAATTCTGGTTTTACTTTGTGTCTTTTAAGTGCTACAAAATAGGCATATCGTCAAAAATAATTTGCTTGAAAATAAAAAGCAGACAAAAATACTGACATGTCCTCATTTTGTAAAGGTTTTT